ATTTTTTCATTGACCAAAAGGACTGGACCTCGCTACAGAAATCAAGAACACGTAGAGGATTGAAAACTCTTCAGTGGACAAACATCATCTCCAAAGGAATTCGATCAATCCATCCATATTGCTCTTTTGCTTTTAAAAGACACAGAATTAAGACACTTGGCTCACAAAGACAAGGTCCTGAATTTTGGTGTCTGGGTAACTGTCCCTTTGAAGACTGTCCTGTTCAAGTAACAGTCACGGTAAATAATGCAAAGGATCTGAAAGCCGCTGTGAATTTCAAGGGCAAGACAAGCATTCATAATCGCATCGAATTAAAATCAAGACCAATAAGAGGAAAGGACAGGAGTGCAATGGCGAAGACATTGCAAAAAGAATTGCCGAGGTCAATGTACTTACATAACATAGGCCAATTACATGACACAGTTATGGAGTCTGGATGCAGAGATGAGGCACCCACACCTTCTGTATTGAAAACCATCTCATGGGAAGTTCGACAAAAAAGTCGTCTCCATAACAATGAGCTCTTAAGTTTGCAGTTCATGGTTGAAGGAAAATCAAACAAACGAGATGATGTTCTCCAAAATTTTTTTTTATTTCCTAAAGGAGTACTATTGTGGTCACTGAGGAGCATAGACATCTATCATGACAGGACAAGAGAAGACATCTTGTATTTGGATGCTACTGGTAGCATTATGAAGAAGGGAAAGGGCTCCCCACCATTTTATGTGTATGAGCTTGTTGTGAGGAATCCTTCCAAGAACTCCTCACCCTTTCCTGTGGCGACTTACTTGACATGTGACCACACCACTGCCTCCGTCAAGTATTTTCTTGATGCATTTCTAACAGATGTTGCAAAGGCGTATGGGCAGAGAGCGTTGCGGCCTCCACTGATGCTACTATGCGACGGTTCCATCGTCATAATGCAAGCACTGTGTCTATCGTTTATGAAGACCAATTTGACTAACACCATTGAGCATTACTACTCAATAGTAAGTGGAAAAGGGAAATCTGCAGATTTTGACATCCCAGTTCTGCACCGATGCCGGAGTCATCTCATGAAGAATGCCAAGGAAATTTGTAGAAAGTTGTAAGAACATTTAAATTACAATTACATTTCATTAATTTAAACAATACTCTTATCACTACTTTGTGTTGATCACAGATGTCTTTATGTCATTTCTTTCAGCGCTAAACAAGAATACCACCTGGCTATACATGTAATCGGACTTTTTACAACCGCAACAACTTTACAAGCTCTGGATGACATGGTTTTAAGTGCTACAGTCGTTTTCTCCAGTCCATGCAGTGGACAAAACGTTGAAAAGCACTTCAAAAACCTGCAGTCTTTTGAGGAAAACCGAGAAAGTGAAGGACTTCTTGATGAGGTAGACTTTTTTATTTACGCTTACACTCGTATAAAATCTGTCAATGAATGCACATTTTGATTGAATGTTATTATTCATGTGGGCCACTAATTAACAATTCCTAAAAACATTGACCTTTTTCAAGCATAATGTATGTAATTTTTCATTTGATCTCCTTTGTTTGATAACTTTCTTTTAATTAATATGGCTTTTGTTCTACCTGAGATTTTTTGGGGTAGTTATGTTATAATCAATAACCTCTACAATATTTAGGACATCGACGGAAAAAACATTTTTGCCAAGCATTTCAGTCGAGTAATTGCCAAAGCTCCTTTGGATGAAGATGGCCAGACCAACGTGTATTATTGCAAAGGACTTATTCATCACTTGTGTCGATACATCTTACCCTATGCTGCACTGTGGTCTGCTATGATGCTTGGTAGGTGAACACACACAAAAACACATGCACACACATGTGCACAAACACACAAGTGGAAATACATATTTTATATATATGTGTGTGTGTGTGTGTGTGTGTGTGTGTGTGTGTGTGTGTGGTTGTGGGGGGTTCTTAGGTGATCTTGGACGTCATGGGACTGGCACAGTTTATCAGAATGCAACACGGAGATATAATGTCCTGAAAACCCTGAAAAGACAGGTAGCTCAATGGAAACACATTCTGCTGTATTAAAATCATGTTTTCCTATTTGAAGCAACTGTAACTGTCTTTCAGAATATCACAGATGACAATAAAACACAGGGCATAATGGAGAAAAGCCAGTGGGATTTGAAACACGTTCGGTTCCCGTCTCGAAGGCTCACCAGGCTAGATGATTTTGTTGTCCAGTACCAGCTCATCCACACAGCTATGTTGAAGGAGTTTGACGACCACAGTCGGTCTTTGAAAAGAAAGGTAAGCAAATCACACCATCCATCTAAAATATGACAATGTATACTTTTCAGATAAAAATATTTAAACGGTACAAACTCCAACAATACTTAAGTCTGTTGCTTCCAAATGTCTTTGCAGTAATCCTTAAAAATAGGATATTCCTGACTATGTTCACGACTAATTATGCAACAATCATTGAAAAACAAAATCCTGCCTGTTGTACATTTCCACAATAATTGCTTTTTATCACAACTCAGATACAGTCGACCTATTTCTCATAATACAAATGTAAAAGTTTGTCATAAAATCAAATAGACTGCTGTGATACAAAATCGAAACTATCAAAGTCTAATTGATTTTCAAATTAAGATGGGCTGTTGTGTATTTCAAAAAGAGGCGGTCATTTCAATGATCAATAACAGTTACAGCATGATATTACTGAAGAAATGTTTGGAAAACATCAATGGAAATATTCAGTTTATGTGTCCTGCCTTTTTTTTTTTTAGAGTTTTAGAGTGGACGAGGAAAAATGGAAACAACGAAATCAGAAAAAGAGGGGGAGATACGTCAAGGGAATCACAAAGCCATTCCATTTTAAAGGTTACAGCACACAGGTACTCCATTTAGGGTGTCAATTTAGGTTGATTACACGACCATTTCAGGGTGCTGTCTTCCCTCCGTCTCAAGTTAGCTGGGATAGGTTCCAGCAATTCCTTGCATCCGTGATAGGCAGTGTTGAAAATGGATGGATGGATAAGATAAGAAAACCTTTATTTGTCCCACAACAGATAAATTAGCAATCTACAGCAGCAAAAATTGAAGGGGTACAAAAGAAAAACAAAGTATTGCATGCACAAAATACCGTATTGGCCTGAATATTAGACGACCCCCTCTTTTTCACGACTCAAGTTTGAAAAAAGCCGTTTTGAACACCAAATTAATTTTTACACAGAAATTAATTACAGTACATCTGAAACAAATGATTATAACAATATATTTGGGATAAAAAGCATGTTGTTTTGCCTCATCCAATTTTATCTGAACATTTAAATATGTAAACTAATGTGCAATCACATTCGTAAATGATTGACTTCTGGTTTTTGAAATGTAAATTACATTATAATTTCTCCTCAGCTGCCGGTTAACCTGGCCGATCTTCAACCCACTTTTCTCCAGATTATCGCTACGTTTGACCATTTTCTGTTATCTCTTCTATTATTCTCTTCTCTTTTCTTTCTTACCGCTATTTTTTATTTTTCTTCTTCGTGCTACCTCTATTTTTTTATTTTACTCTTCGTGGCAGGGTTCACTTTGGCCTGGGGAGTCAAGTTCAGCATTCGCTTCAATGATATCTGGCGCCATCTAGCGTCGTGAATGGGTATAATGTCTAGACCCCGGATATAAGACAACCCCCACTTTTTCAATCTTATTTCAACTCAAAAAACACCGTCTTAAATTCGGGCCAATACGGTAAATGTTTCTGAAAAAAGAACTGTACACAGGACAGAATGCAATATAAAATATAAAACATAGATATAGGCATATATGCACCTGCATTAAGTCCTTCGTCAGTGCCTTGTACTCCTGATCACTTGCTTCTGTAATGAGTGCGACAATCGCAGAGTTGTCAGAGAACTTCTGAAGGTGGCAGGTTGGAGTGATGTAGCTGAAGTCTGAGCTGTAGAGGGTGAACAGGAATGGAGCCAGGACAGTCCCCTGCGGTGCCCCAGTGCTGCAGAGAAGCCTGTCCGACTCACAGCTCTGTGCCCGCACATACTGCAGCCGGTTTGTGAGGTAATCTGTAATCCATGATGTGAGTTTGTGGTCCACGCCAGCGTGCTGCATCTTGTCCCCCAGTATTTTGGGCTGGATGGTGTTGAAGGCACTGGAGAAATCAAAGAACATGATCCTCACAGAGCTCCCAGCATTCTCCAGGTGTAACAGCGCCGAGTGGAGGAGGTCGATGATGGCGTCCTCCACACCGATGCCGGGCTGGTAGGCAAACGATAGCGGGTCCAGTGAGGGGCTCACCAGCGTTCGCAGGTAGGCGAGGACAAGTCTCTCCAGCGTCTTCATCAGGTGACACGTCAGCGCCTGATTGAGTCGAAGCGGGACTGGGTTGAGTCGAAGCGGGACTGCAGTCGAAGCAGTCCCACAGAGCCTTGATAAATGATAAATGATAAATGACAAACACATCGCACACTGATGTGTTACTGTTCAAGCTCTCATTCAAAGTTAAAATGGCTGATTTGAAACAAGCCTTTCTCTGTTCACAAGGTCATCAATGAAACCACTGATATCAGCGCTTCTCAGGAGTCTGGTTCTGCAGTCCAGAGCCAAGCCTTGGAGTCTCCTCAAACTGACAGCGGTCAAGGGCTGCATATCCAACATTCAACAACTCCAGCTCAGCAGGTATTATTACACTTGTTACAAAGTGGTGTCAGAGGTGTCAACGACACCAAACATATAATAATGGTCCATGACATTTTTGTTGTTTCGTGCTTGTGGTTACAGTTACAAGATTTATGGAGTCGTAAGCCAGCAGAAGTTGTGATTGCAGTGCTCCCTTCGTTGCTGGAAGACCGCAGTTTGTTAATTCGGCACAGCGAGCGATGTTCACTCCGACCTCATGAGTGGCTCACTGGCGAGGTGCAATTCTCATTTTGTTTTTATACTGATTAAATTCAATCATTAAATACTCATTTGAAAAATAATGTCACAAAAATTATTGCTCTTCTACATAGATCATTGAAGGATTGTTTCACGTTTTGGCCAAGAAACTCATGATGACGAGCCTTTATCTTATGAGTTACTACACTGCTGAACTGATTATCTCTGGTGACAAGAGTATGCTTCCACGGCACTGTTTCCCGAAGGTATTGTTATGACCTGGGCAAGGGCCCGCAAGCCAATTATGGTGATAGCTCTCAAAACCATCATGCGTTTACTAGATCAATGAATGTAAGTTAAAACACTTAACTTTTTTTGCATTGACAGGAAAACCTGAACTCTTACAAAGGAATTTTATCCTTTGTAAATGTAAACAATAACCACTGGAAACTTCTGGTGAGTGCAGTTCATGTATTCACATTGAAAAGAAAAAGAAATGCATGCCAAAATAGTTACAAGGGTGTTTTTTTCTAAATTTTGAGTCTTGACAATTTTCAACCTCTAGTTCATATGTCACTTTCCCTAAATATAAAACAATGTATGTGTAACCTTGGATTTTTTTTTACACCTTTTCCAGTACATAAATGCTGATACTGGAACAGTATATCTGGTCAATCCTGCTCAGTGTCACACAGAGGTCAACGATTCCACGACTGCAGCCAAAAGATTCCGGTATTTATACCTCCATGATTTCACCACTGCAGAATGTGTAGATGTGGTCCTGACATATCTTAGCCTACACCTAAACTTAATTGTGCCACCTGCATCGCAGATGTGAATATTTTCTCATCAACTCTTCAGGCTATTCAATGTATGTAAACCAAGTTAGACTAATTTTCACAGTGGGAAAGTTTTTATTCTTGTCTCCTTCATCAAACACACAGTGAATTCTTAACAATGCGGAGAATGCACCACGGAAATGCAGAGTGGGAGGATAAAGAATGGAAAGGAGGATGTTTGGCCCACCCCACACAGCAGGATTCATCCAGCTGCGGTGTGATTGTTACCTTGGCAAGTGTAACTCTTCCAATAATATAGAATGGCCACTGCTTGTATATTATCTGTGTCTATATGATGTGTTTCATTTAAAAAAGAAATGTGAACACACTGCTTCCTTGCATAATCTGTGTTTTTAAATTGTTCACTCCAAACAATTTTGTTACTCCCACAAGACAAGAAAAACTCTTTGTGTTTCAGATTGCCGCAGAGCTCATGAAAACTTTTCCAAAGATTCCACATATTAAATTTGATTCGTCAACGAAAGAAATGGCCAATGAGAGAACAAGACTTGGATTGGAAATACTGGCAGCATCAGGTTTGATAGTTTATACCATCAGTCGGCATCCCGCGGCTCCGGAGCCTCATGCGGCTCTTTCATCCTTATAATGCGGCTCTGATTGGCTTGGGAAAATAAATTACTAAAAAAATTTTTTTTGTATTTAATTGAAGTGTGTTTTATTTGTGTTAGTTTTTATATTATTTTAGTTCTAAATTTGAAGATGATTGTGATCTTGAAATATTAAAATATTAATTAAATTATTTGATATTATTTTTTTCGTCGCTCAAAATAGACGTCACACTGCGGAAGCTGGTATACCCGCTGAAACGGCGTCTATTTTGAGCGACTTTCAACCCCGGCAAAGCCAATGGACCTGCTCTGGAGCTGGAGCTGGCTGACATAGCTGACAAAGACATTTGGGTGTCCAAATTCAAACGCTTGACAGAGGACCTTGAAGATGTTGCCCGTCAGAAGGCCACTCTTGCTCAGAATCACAAATGGAGTGATATTGAGAACCTCCCGAGACCGGACAAACTCATATTTGAAACATGGAATGCCATCCCCGACACCTACACGAACATGAAGAAATATGCCTTTGGAGTCCTGTCGATCTTCGGATCCACATATGTATGTGAGCAGCTATTCTCCACCATGAACTGCATTAAAAACAAACACCGCTTACGGCTCACAGATGACAGCTTACAGTCCTGCGTAAAGATGAAAGTGACTTCGTACAGCCCCGATTTGCAGAAGCTGTGCGCAGAGGTTCAGGAGCAGAAGTCCCATTAACCAGGTAAAATAAATATTTATGCAGATATTTTGCAAATATTTAATTTTCATTGTTTAGTGACACAGTGCTTTTTCCCCCAATTGATTTTATATATTCAGGTCAAGGCTCCGCTGCATACTTTGAAAGCCCAAGGCGATATAAGGATGACGGCTCACGGATTTTTCCCTTTTGTTTGCTGCATGCACAATTTAAATTCAGCTTTTTAATTTATTCGACAGAGACATTCAGACATTATTTTTTCAAGAATTCAAAATGTGTTCATTACATCGGTAAAATTTAATTTTCTCCGTAGCACTTCATAAGACATAACCACACTATAGTTGTTTATACAAAGTGTAAAGGTAAGAAAAAGCAATATATACAGTGTTATCTTCATTTTAGATAAGATAAATGGATATAAGGATGACGGCTCACGGATTTTTCCCTTTTGTTTGCTGCATGCACAATTTAAATTCAGCTTTTTAATTTATTCGACAGAGACATTCAGACATTATTTTTTCAAGAATTCAAAATGTGTTCATTAAATGAATAAAATGTAATTTTCTCTGTAGCACGTGGATTTCATAAGAAACATGCTGCGGTAAAGTAGTAGAAGTTTTTTTTTTTTCATTTTAGATGTGCGGCTCCCAGTGTTTTCTTTTCCGGGTTCAAATGGCTCTTTCGGTGTCAAAGGTTGCCGACCGCTGGTTTATACTGATCACCCATGCAAAAAAAGTATGTATGTTTCAATGTACATTAAATGATGATTCATCAATCATGTTGTAGTATTTGATCCCACCATGCACTGTGCCATGTGCTCATTGGCCAAACCACCTGGAGCAGGTCCTCCTTTGATTAACGGGGTGAGTTTTACATTGCAAGAACATACAATTAATTTATCTTCATATTTTGTTTGAAGTAAATTTGCCGCATTAAACTAACTACTGGTTCCTTTACATGTTGGTTTATTTTAAAGGATTGCTCAACAACAATAACAACAACAACAACAGCATAAAGTCACCAAGTTAAATTTTCTGACATCACACACAGGCAGAGGAAAGAGGCAGAGAAGGAAGACCCAGATTATCTTGCTATGAGCTCTCCTATACAGGTCTGGTGTTAGGCAACAGGGTGTTATCTGTATGGTTTTGACTGTGATCGGTGTAGATGTAGAGCAGGGATGTGAAACTCATTTCACATTGTGGGCCACATACGGCCTCGGTAGATGTTATATATATACTTTTTCAACCATTTATACATATAAATCAAACACATAAAATCAAAATTCATTCCCTCCGTACACTTTACAAACTAATGAGGAAGCAGTGTGCCCCCTAGCGGACAACACATAAATTGCACCTTATTAAAAATACTCATTCTGAGTCTTTTATGCATTTTTTCACTTGTAAATTATCCTGCGGGCCTGATGGAACCTCCTAAAGGCTGGTTCCAGCCCATGGGTTGTATGTTTGACACCCCTGGTGTAGAGCCTTTCAACGTCATGGTTGGCGGGTCCCTTTCAGATTTTGACGGCTATTTTTCCTCATTAGCATAGGAAGGTGATACGGCCAGACTGTCTGCTGAACTGTATCATCTTCTCAATCCAAAATGTTTCCTGCCTTATATGCCATCCTGCCATAATTTTGTAATATGTTGTTTTATAATGCTGCGTGTTTGTTTATTTTTCCCCTTTAAATAGATACAGTGTGACGAATGTGAAAGGTGGTATCACGAGCAATGCCTTGGAATGACCGTGGATGACTTGGCAAAGGCGAAAACAGGGAATTGGTCATGCATTGTATGTGAGCCATGAGTGTGAATTGGACACATGGGAGACCTTCATCTATATATATCTGAGTGTGTGTGTGTGCGTGCGTGCGTGCGTGTATGTGTGTGTGCGCGTGTGTGCGTGTATGGACATTGTGAATACATATATGAGTGTAAAATTTTGTAAATTTGTAAATGTGTGTATTTGTGAATATGGACATTGTGAATATGTACCTGAGTGTAAAATTGTGCAAATAAATGTGTAAATGTGTGTATATGCGTCTTTGTGTATATGGACATTATGAGCATGTACATTAGTGTAAAATTGTGCAAATAAATTTGTAAATGTGTACAAATTTGTGTTTGTGTAGATATGTACTGTATGTTTGTATGTTGAAAGCAGTGGCGGATGCTAGTCTGGAAAGGAGGGGAAGCTGAATTTCGACCAACATCATAAAATGTGTCAGTTTATTTATACGTGATTTCTACTCTCCGTTCCTATTCAAGAAAATGATCTGTGACGTGTGAACTACAATAAAACCCACCAGAAGTAAAAGATTAATTTGTTGCTAGTCGTTTTCAACAAAGAGAGTGTCACTAAGATGAAGAGAAGAAGTCTCCAACTCAACTCAGAACAGAAAGACAATTGAAAAATGCTCCGATGGATGCCGACACCAAAAGATCGGGTTTTGGCTCATTTTGCTGTCAATCAAAAAGAGATTCAGCCTCAGACAGATCAGATCTCAGAAAAGCTGAGTGTCCAAGTCATCTGAAAAACACCCACTGTCTGTCCATAGACTCCCAGAGAAGCTGAGCGTCCAATGGGCAGGACAAAACAAGCATTTATCCAATGACTCGTCTCGTTTCAATGCATTGGGACAACCAATGTGAACTCTCCCCACGCCCAGCGTCCGCGCGGTCGACGCTCAGCATCCACACATTTTAAATCACAGTGAAGCTGCAGGAATGAATGAGAAGACAGTCGCATCGGAAACAGTAATAAGCTGATTTGGAACAACAGTTGAGTGCGTTGTAGCGCGTATTAAGTCAATGACATGAACACACAATTGCGTTCAGGCCAACTTTTCGGGAATAAGGTCCTCTCTTCCCATTTCAGGGGCGTTTTATTCCCAAATACAACATCGGATTCGGACCAGACTTGTCGGGTTAGATAGCCAGGGAGCTGTAGTCAGTGGCGGTTCTAGATCAGTTTCACTGAGGGGGCCGGGCTGGGGCCGGGGGGTTTTGATGGAGGGGCAACATTAAAACCAGGGCTAAAAAGACAAATTCGAAATATTATTTGACTTTTTATTTCATCAAACTTTGAAAGCATTGTAGTCATAACATTACAGTGATGAGAAAAAAAACAGTATTAGGAGGGCTAAAATATCTGCAAGCGTAACAATACGCCGAGTCCATCTGTTGAGAATATTCAAGCCAGGGGTGGATATGGTACCAGCCTGCCTTGAAGATCCTTCTCCTGTCCCCCATCAGGGTCCTGGGAAACTGTTTTAGCTCTGGCTGCATTGGCGGGTCCTCTTTACATCTACTGATGTCTGTGGACAAAGACAAACCAAATAAATGTAAACACAAGTTCTGCATGGACACAGCATATACACTAACCCGGTACACTTAGATTGCTGAGGCACTCAGACATATACAAGTGTCTAAAATGTATTGATTGATGCTATTTATTAATTGTATTAATTAGTTTTTATTGTATTCAATAAATATAAATTAATACATTCTCAAGCCTGACCAGAGACTAAAATTGCAAATACACTGAAGCTAAATGTTTTACATGCATATAATTATCCAAATTTTAGAAGGCAATGTCTTATATATTGTTCCTGTTAAATAAAAATTAAAATTAAAATGGGATACTAAAAAAGTTACACACGCACACGCACCCACACACAGAACAGGATAGTGTTATTTTCAGCATCACATACCTGATGGTCCAGTGCTTGTGGAAGCGCAAATATCCTCTGTCTGTGTCTCACACTCCACTTCTATTGCAGTCTCATCTTCCTAATTCTCAGGATCTTCATTTGTATCCCTTTCCTGCTCTGAGTCCTCGCTCTGAAAATAAAGCCCGTGTCCTCTGTCTCTCCCTCTCTGGTGCTTTCAACTTGCTCCTCTTCAAATCTCTCACCACTATCATCATCTGACTCTCTCTCTGTGTCTGGATAAATGTGTTTCTTTTTCATATAGAAATATGATGTAATGTCAGTTTTTCTTTTCATTTTTAACGTTAAATGTTTAAGTGAAGAGGAATTAGACTTAAAAATGCTACTGTTGGGGGCTCAGAACCGCCACTGACGCTCCCGTCGGATAAAAATAAATAAAGAAATAAAAAATAAAGCGCCGGACGCGAAGGCAAAGTGTGTCCGCGAAGGCAGCTTCGTCTTGGATAAAAAAAGCAGGGCCTTTGGCCAACTTACGTCAGCGTTAACACCCCCGGAGAAGGCCACTGTGGAGGCAAAATGCGTGGCGACGACGGACGCTCCGGTCGGTTAAAAAAAAAAAAAAAAGTGCCGGACGCGAAGGCAGTGTGTCCGCGAAGGCGGCTTCGTCTCGGTTGAATAAAGCAGGGCCTTTGGCCAACTTACGTCAGCGTTAGCACCCCCGGAGAAGCCTGCCACGGAGGCAAAATGCGTGGCGACGACGGACGCTCCCGTCGGATAAAAATAAATAAATAAATAAATAATAAAGCGCCAGACGCGAAGGCAAAGTGTGTTCGTGAAGGCGGCTTCGTCTCGGATAAAAAAGCAGGGCCTTTGGCCAACTTACGTCAGCGTTAACAACCCCGGAGAAGCCCGCTGTGGAGGCAAAATGCGTGGTGACGACGGACGCTCCGGTCGGTTAAAAAAAAAAAAAAAATGCCGGACGCGAAGGCAAAGTGTGTCCGCGAAGGTGGCTTCATCTCGGATGAATAAAGCAGAGCCTTTGGCCAACTTCCGTCAGCGTTAGCACCCCCGGAGAAGCCCGCCCCGGAGGTAACGTTCACATTCACATTCCCCGGGCTGATTTCATGGAGGCCAATCATGACAGCCAATTTCACGAGGAAAAGTTAACGTGGCTGTTTAAAAAAATTGCTAACGATAGATGCCTGTTGCTCCCTTTACACTGACACTGGTAAAAGATCAATGACAGCAGAGTCATTGTTGTCGTGGGCCACATCTCAGTTATGGTTTCCGTCTGAGGGTTTAGGACTGTGAACAGCACGAAATATCGAATCGCCTCATGTTGTATAATGCTGGTTTCAGGCTGTAAACTTGCCCCACCAAAATAGTCACTTTTCAGGAGACCTCACAAATGGTTTGTTTGTGCGACCATTAACGTTGCATCTTCAACAAGAGCAGTCATTTCCAACACTTTAGATTGGTAAATAATTTATACAAATAAGACTCACACATATGGAATGACGAATAGTAGAGACTTTTAAAAAAATGGAAATTTTCACCAAATTGTGACTAATAAGATTTCAGCCCGATGCCAGCCATATATACAATTAATTGATGAATAACTTTTAATAATTTTTAAATAAGAGGCCAGCAGTTTGTTCAAATATACAATACAATACATCCAGATTTATATAGCACTTTCACAACAGCTGCAGCTGTAACAAAGCGCTTATTTTCTATATAATGTATTAAATATTATAACATTTATTTTACAAGGGGAATTGGTAACATAAAAAAAGTGCTTGCAATCTCAAAATGTTTAAAAATGAAGGGGCGCATAAAATTATGTGGCAGTCCAGATCTGACTTTGAGTTTCACACTTGTGAATTACATTATCTAAGTCTGAGGGACAAATGTCAACTCTGCTAATTGATTAAATTACAGCATGCAAGTATGAGGAACAAATGTCGCATAACAAGACCAGCCAAAAATAAATCAGCATTTCACCGTGCGTGAGAACAGAAGGAAATATCCATTCAAGCCTCACCTAGTGACGGTGTGACCTTTCCGATGGGCGTTCAAAGCAAGTTGCCTCTTTCATTTGCAGCTATGAGGCAACATACTGTAGAAAACATCAGAACAAGATGAGCATCATCCAGTGACTTGCAGTGCTGTTCATGACTGGTGAGGCACTACTTCCCTGCAGTCTGATATACAAACGTGAAGCCAAAATAGATAAGCCTATATTTTACTCTACACCTTAATTAAAACATTTCTCAGTTCTGGTCAACATTGACTTTTTATAAAGCTTTTGTGTAATTCCACACTATATATATATATATATATAAAAATCCTCGTCTCACCCCTCGGGTGGTGTCCATCCCTCATTCAGCTCGGGTCCTCTACCCTTTATCTTTAATCACGATATCTGGTTGGTTCGCCATTACCATCTTGTCAGTCTGGATCTGGAAGTCCCACAGGATCTTCGCTCTGTCATTCTCCACCACCTT